GGGGCTTCGTCATGTGCCCCGCCCCCCGTACCTCACCCGGGGGAACTGCGTTCCCTCGCATCCCCCCCCCCGAAATGACCTCTGCAAATAGCCAGTGCTCTTGATTTAAATGAACTTAAAAGAGTGGTGTCAAACTCATTTGCTACGAGGGCCGGGTCTGACATAAATGCCACTTTGTTGGGCCGGGCCATGTGTGCCATAAAACATACTGCCAGGTACTGAAGATATAAACTTCATAAAGGATACAGGCAAACCCAATTAACAATATTATTTTTAACTCAAAATACAAAAAAAAAAAAAAGCAATTGATTCCTAGCAGTGAAAGCAATTGATTTACTGGGGAACTCACCTAAATGTATTTAATTGCATGCAAGACTAGGTTTCCCCCCCAAGGGATACCAGAAAAGGGGGAGTACCTTATATTTCCATACATACCAGTTGCTTGCGGGCCGGGTAAGAGCCCTGGGCGGGCCTGTTCCGGCTCCCGGGCCTTATGTTTGACACCCCTGGCTTAGGGTGATGGAAACTTTGGGTCTTAAATCACTACACCTTACATGCAAACAATCTTCAGTACCTCCCTGTTATTCAACTCTTCCAAAATCAGGCTTCTTAAAAGTTGGCAAGAGGTAGCTTTTTTAACTGGCAGGCCCTGTAACCTGTGTAGTATCATTCCACTTGTTCTGTCTTCTTATATTATTAATTTTTTTCTTTTAAAAAAGATATGTTTTTACCCACGGGCATGCAAAATTATCACAAAAATAAAAGTGTCAATTAAAAAATGCCACTAACATATTTAATTAATCTGCACGCTGAAACAATGGCTACAGAGCCAACCAGTGGAGACACCTAGAATAAGGTACCTGATGATAATCCAGGTCTCTGGGTAGGATCATGTGGGAGAAGTCAGTCCTTCAGAATATATTGGTGCAGGCCAGGCCCGTAGCTAACATGGGGCCCACGGGGCCCAGCCCCCTTGTGTTTCTTCTGGGCCCCCTCCCTCCTCCGGGGCTGCCCCCAAAGTGCTCCAACTTACCACCTGCACTGTACTTCCATTTAATTAGCTGGCGGCCCCCCCAAGGCCCCCTCCCAAAGAATTCCCTAGCTACGGGGCTGGTGCAGGCTGATTCACACTTAAGAAGCAGCGCGGGCCACTTCCCCATCTCATCTGCCCTAGACCATGCCATGAAGAAAGCCCATGAATGGGGAAAGCAATCTAGGTCCTTCTTATCCAGGCGTTGTCTTCCTGGGCAACAGTTAGGAGGAAGCATTGTGGACCAACCCACACTTACTTCCCCCGGCTTCCTCCTATGCTACTCTGTTAATATGTCCATGAAGGAACCAGGGCTCTTTTTGTAGAAAAAGCCCAGCAGGAACTCATTAGCATAATAGGCCACACCCAACAGCAGGAACCCATTAGCATATTGGGCCACACCCCTGACAGCACAGCTCATTAGCATATTAGGCCACCCCCCCATGTTACCAGAAGTGTGGTCATCCAGCCACACCCACCTTTTGCTTCTTATTCTGTTTACCTTGTTTGTTGTCAAAACCCAGGGCTTTTTTTGTTGCAGGAACTCCTTTGCATGTTAGGCCACACACCCCTAATGTAGCCAATCCTAATGAGTTTCTGCTGTTGGGTGTGGCCTATCATGCTAATGAGTTCCTGCTGGGCGTGGCCAACTTGGGAGCCAGCCGGAACTCCGTTCCTGTGCATTCCTGCCCAAAAATAGCCCTG